TGAAACATTCGGGATATGGCGTGGCCGCCGCGCACGCTGGTGTGAAAGCGAACCGGGAATGCGCGTGCAAATGAGGGCGCGGAACACATCTTGATGTATCATTTATCACTCGCGTCTTGGCTTCTCCTCCTTCCGATCGCTGACTTGATTTTTTTCTTCGGTTTTTTTTTTTTTTTTTTTTTCGTCCCTACAGAGGAGTCTTTCTTCTTTCGAACGAGACGATCGAAACGTCGGAAATCGAGTCGCGACTAGCAATTTCTTTTTTTTTTTTTGGTCTCTCAATTTCGTCTGCGTCGATTTAGAAAGAACGATACACGCGCGTGTGTTCTCGCGATGACATGGAACGATGATTAAGCAATTAGGAAGAAAGGACCGAGTCGCTGGTGATCAATATATCGACTGATGATGGCGAAAACGCGATGATTGTTCCCAGGGGCCGCCAAACGCGCAGAAGACCTCGGTGTCGTCTACGACTTCCGGCCTCGGGTCGGCACCGCCTGGCGAGACAAGCTACGAGCTTCTCCTTCAGCAACAGCAGTTGTTCCTTCAGTGGCAGCTCGAATGGCAGCACAAGGTACGCTTCTGCTCGATGAAAGCGATCGAATGCCACCTCGGCAAAACAGAAATCTTACAATGCTTGTAAAGTCCACTTTCCTCGCCTCGTTAGCAACAAAACGAGTGAGCGAGCGAGCGAACGAACGAACGAATCCAGCCGGATATGTCTCGTTAACGCCGCACTTTCTCCCCGACAATTTGCATGGCAATTACGTTATTACGTCTAAATTTATAATCGAAGATCAGGCTCAGAGTTACGAGACTGCGCGGCGGTTACTCAATTCGTACGTTTTACGTAATTATCGTTTGTATGTGTGTGCCCGGACTCAAAGCTCGACACGAGCGCCGTTGCGTAATCCGGTTGTTCTGTTGTTTAGTACCCTCAGATCATTCTACCGGCAGCGCAAAAGCCACTGTCTTTGAACAGCAGCGGCGCCAGCGACGCTGGCAGCATCAGCGGAAGTAGCGTGAACGCGCCGAGCCCCGCGCCCTCGAATTCCTCCAACAACCCCTCGGAACAGCCGCCCCTGAGGCCTTTGGGCAAGCTGGAGGACATGAAAGGTAAGATTTGCTAATAATGTAATGATGTAAGACGAACCTCGGCGATAGATTAATCATGGAAACAAAGCACAAGCAGTGTGCCCACTGCGCAGCGAATGACAAACAGCGAGTGACAAATGCAACCCTTTCAGTAAGCGATCTCAAAGTGGAGTTGAAACGTCGAAATTTGCCAGTGTCTGGCTCGAAGCCACAACTGATCGAGAGATTAAAGCCGTTCACGGAATCGTCTAGCGGCAACTCGACATCTAGCTCGAACGGGCCGCACGTGACGCACATGGGCCACATATTAATGGACACGCCGGGGCCGGTCACATCCGACGAGTCCAGCTCCCATGCCAAAAGTCCCAGCTCAGCCGTCAAGGACGAGCCGAACAGTCCTCGGACGGACTCGCCGCACGGTAGCGAACACGACGACCCGTCCAGTCCCCCAGGTACTTCCATCTGTTTTTTTACTGTCCATAGTACTTGCATCGTATTTACATCGAGATACAAACACTTTGACAAGTGAATCTTCCGGAACGCGACAACAACAACAATAACACACGTCGGTGTGTTTTCACAATGTAGTCCGTGTTTCAGGAGACGACATAATCAAGGAACAAAGGAAACGGATAGAGGAGTTGCAGCGTGAATTGTACAAGTCTCAACAGCAGCTCCAACAGATTCGCCAGACTCAACCGTCTACGGTTCATGCTGAGAAGTTGGTGCTGCAGCAACACATTCAGAACAAGATGCAACAGCAGCAGCTGGCGTTACATTTGCAGCAGTTGCAACACTTGCAACAGCAACAACAGCAGCAACAGCAACAACAGCAGAATCAACAGCAGTCTCAACAGCAGACGCAACAACAACACGCCACGTTCCAGCAGTTGAACGCGAAAGCAAGTCTCGCTGCGTTTCTGCAGGCGCAACCAAATAACACTACTGCCATTCTGGACTCTTCGACCCTAACTGCGATTAATAACAAGAAGAATCAAACGAAGAACAGTGCGACCGTGCAAATACCCGCCGCGATAGTCTTCAACCTGCCCAAGCCAACGAAATTAAATGGCTCGTTGCTGAGCGCGTTAGTGGCGCAGGCGCAGGCTCAACAACAACAACAACAACAACAACAACA